GGGGGGGGGGGACTGGGGAGCTGAGACCTCCGTCATTTGTCTGTGGGCCACGCAACCGGCCTGGGGCCAGGTGCAGGAGGTGAGGGCACTTGGACCCTCGGAGCCTCTGAAGCCAGGGGGCCTGTTTTGCCTCCAGACTCCGCTTTCACCAAACAGGGGCACTTAAGTCCCTTTTCCCCTTACAGGTTTGAAATCTCTCCCCTGATCACTTCTCAAAAGGCATGGACACTATTATTTGTTCTGAAGTTTGCACACTTCGGCGCGTGTCACCCATAATCCACGCTTTGTCGTGGCAACAACAGCTAGTTGGGGGGGGGGATCTGTGGGGTTGGGGAGCCCTGTGAGCCTCCACCGGCCCGAAATCCTATAGCCGAGAATAAACTATGGCCCGCCCACTGGCTCGGGTGCCCCATGGGCTTGCACCAGAGCCTGGGGGCCGCTCCCCACCCCTGCTGCGCCTGGTCGGCGGGGAGGGCCCTGGGCACTCCCCGGGGAGGCCAGCGCTCTGCTCCCACGGGCCCCGCACAGTCAGTCCACGCTCTCCAGGCCCAGGAGCCTCAGCTGGCGCCGGGCAGCTGGAGGGCACCCACGGGAGCGGTGCGTCCCCACAGGGGTGCGGCTGGTCCCTCCCGCCTTGTGATGGATGTCCACGTGTCAGCCGTTCGGTCAGACGCCCGTCCAGGTGCTGCTGCGAGGTGCGTATGGACGCGGTGGACACCTGCAGTCAGTGACTCTGAGCACAGCAGACCGTCCCCAGGTGTGGGTGGGCCTTGTCTAGTCAGGTAAAGGCCCCAGGGGCAGAACCCCAGGTTTTCCAGGGAAGGAATTCTGCCTGAAGACCACAACCAGCGCTCCCGCCGAGTTCCCAGCCTGGTCCCCACAGTGGCAGGAACCAGCGCCCCCCGATCTCTCTACAGAGTCTGCCCTCTGTGTCAGCAGCTTCAACCGACCACAGATCCAAAGCATCCTTTTTACAGTGTTACATTGTTGCGCAGTTAGTCCCCGCGGCTGCATCTGTACTGAGCCCGTGATTATTACCTGGAAATACAGTGTAACAAGTCTTCACGGGCACTTAGGCTGCACTAGGAGTTATAAGTGAGCTAGAGGTGCCTAATACACACGGCAGTGTGTGCTAGTTCTGTGCAAATACCACACCATTTTATACACGGGCCTGAGCGCCCGCGTCGTCAGGTCCCTGCAGGGCCCCGGGACGAGTCCCCGTGGGTACAGGTGGATGGCTGTAGACAAATATCTCCAATATCTCCCATAAGTTCTGTTTCTCTGGACCAGGCCATCTGACACAAGCCTCTTACACACTCAGATCCCTCCTTCCTGTGAAACACAGGAATTGCAGAACAGCGGAGCCGGGAAGGATCCCCGTGAACATCGTGTGCCGTCAACTGTCGCTGTACAGAAAACTGAGGCCCAGAGGGGGTAAGGGACCCGCCCAAACGAAAGCCACATGGTAAGTTCGTGGAGAACTGTCTCCAAACCAGATCTTCCGACTCCAGCCTAGAGCCAGAAGGACTCCTGGCCTGATGGGAAATGTCAAACATTTTTTTAAAAAATGCAAGCGAAAAACCACATCCAATACCCCGCCACCCACAGTTAATTCTTTCCCACCTTTGTTTCCAGGCCGTCTGGTGGCCCATCTTTGTAAGGGGATCCCACCCCTCTTCGTGGAAGGTCGTCTGAGCTGTTACTTAAATCTCAGGCTACCAATCAATTTCCCGGCGGTCGCTACGGGTCCCCCCCGGGGCCTTCTTGGGACTGTGGGACCAGCCTGTGCCCGGAAAGCGTGCATTGTCCAGACGAGAGGACGCCCCCTGGGTTATCTACCCCTCGGATATCTGACGTCCTCTGGGAGCGGTTACAAGCCTGCAAGTTGTAGATAACGGAGGCGACACAAATCATTCTTGTCTGTAGGCAGCACCTCTGTCCTGTTCAGTAGAAGTTCCATTCCCTTCTCTCCCTTCCTCCCCCCAAATGCCCCAAATTTGCCCCCACTGCGCTTTCATTTCTATATTCCTGACCTACAAATGCCTCTGTCCTTCAGATTCTTATTTCAACCAGAGATAACATCTGCCAGTTCCCTCCTGAGTCACAGAACATCTTTAACACTTGTTCATTTTTACATCTTAAGACAATCCTATTTCCCCCTTCCCTGAAAATGGCCTTTTAATGTAGCTGCTCTGGGCACCCAGCCCGAGAGGTGTTTCTATCCCCACCTCACCCTCCACCTGGGTCTGCACCTCGGCTCCTGCCCGGCCTGCCCGTCAAGCCCTCTCCCTCTGAGCTCGGCCTGGGGCCCGAGGAGCCATCAGGATGGGGACTGGGGCACCGAGGAGGGGCCATCAGTGCGGGCCGCTGCCAGCCGGAGATGTGGACCACGTGGCCGTCACGCAACAGGGATTTCAAATCACGTGACTATTCTATTTATAACGCACAGCAAAATGGTTTGTTGCTGTAAAAATATATTTGCACATAAATAGACCCTCACAGCAATTATCTAAACGCAGTAACTACACATTAACACCGACTTACCTCGGGCAAATTAGCACCAAATCTCATCTGAGAGGCTGGGGGGGCTCAGGGCACACAGGGGAAGAGCTCACTACGGCACCTGCACGGCCTGGCTCCGGTCTGGGACCACCATCCTGGCCTGAGCCTTATTTCTGGGGGGGCACCGAGCCCAGAGAGAAAAGGGCTGAAACAGGTGGGAGGGGCAGGGATTCCTGCTCTTGGCTGAGAAGGGGTCTCCACTGAGCTGGGATTCTAGGGTCTCCTAGTGGCACCCCGTAAACAGTAATTTTCACCCCTTTGTCTCAGCTGTCACAAATGTATTGCTCCAACCCCCACTGCCCACTCTTCCTCACAAACACCACTGGGTCCCCGACACGCGAGCAGCAGGTGCTGGATAGCGGGGCCA